AGGAGCTGCGGGGCCGCGCGTCCCGCGCAGCCCAGCGGAACCCACCGGCCGTGAGTCCGCGGGTCCCTCGCGGCGCCCGGATCCCCAGGGACGGATGGGAGCCCTTAAGCAGGCGCTGTGGCCGTTTGTAATTTTTTTCTTTCTCTCTTGAGATTAAAAGTAATTTATTTTGTTTCCTAATAAGCTAGGAATTAAAATAAACGATTTTATTTCATATCAACAGAAATTTGCAGGGAAAACTATGCAGTCTGGTTGCGTTGTGGTTAGATCGAAGGTTTCCACTTCTTGCAAATGTTTGAATGAAGTATTTCACCCATCTTTTGTTTTGTTTAATCCCTGTCAACCCAGGCAGACACGTTGCAATTGGGGCAGCATTAACACCACGAAAGGCATTTTCTAGTATTGTGTCTCTTAACTGCTGGTCATGTAATTTTTTAAATACTCGAAAATTGAAATTCATCATTGTGGGCATTAAATTAAATTCGCATAAGAACACAAGGAGCTGTTTTTAGGCAAGTGGTAGCGTGTTTGCAGTGAGATGTTGTTTGCTCAGACCTGTTATGTTGTGAAGAATGAATGAGAACATTTTGTATTGGGGTCCTCTTCTGTGCAATTTTGGTAGCTACTGCGATAGATGCTATGGGGAATTGTTACCACAGGGGTTACAATGAGCACAACCAGCTCCCTCCCTCAAGCAGCCCTCAACAACAAAACAAAAGACAATCGATCCCCTTCAATTCCATTTATTCAGATTGTATTATTCTTGTAATTTGGACTTCAACATAATACAGCATATTGCACTTACTGGAGAGCAGCACAAGAAAGAAAAAAAAAGTACAATACTTCAGTTTATTCTCAAGGAAGAATAAAATGTGACAGTGTGACAGTTGTTGCTCTTCTTAAATATATGAAACCAACTGAAAGTCTGAGTATATGTACACAAGATTTCTTAAGTCCCTGAATAAGCCATTTGAAATTTTACACATACTTTTTTTGCTTTTCTTGTATTTTTTACAGAGATATACAATATGTCACACACAGTTTCAGCTTGAGGACACTCTGCACAATTATAGCCCAGCTAAAAGGCTGATGAGTTTTTTGTTTTCTTTTTTGGCAGGTTTTTTGGAAGGATCCCCTCAGATTTATGGCAATGATTACTCCGATAACTTTCTTCAGTATTGTCCCCCCATTCCCCATCCCCTCCACTTTGCCAGAATGCTGAAAGAAATACCAATTAAAAATAAATCTAGAAGAAAGCCATTACATCATGACAAAGGTTAAACTGTATATATTGCACATCAGTACAGAAACATAATGCAGTAACACTGTCATCCCCCCCTTTCCCTCTCTCTCCTCCACATGTCCTTCCTTGCTCATGGGGCTGGGCTGCATGGGGGAAATCTAACTGTACTCATAGTCTGATGAGTCCTCCTCAGACACCCCTTTCAGGTCCCTGTGGTACGAGTCCATGCCATTCTCATCCATCTCACCCGCTGGCTGCAGGCTTTTCCCTGTGCCTTTGCGCTCCTCCATTTTGATGGTGTCATAGAGTCCCTTAGGTCCTTCCTCAAGGAGGATGTTCCTCTCAGAGTGAGAGGGTTTCATTTGGCAGACGTTTTTGAGAAAGAGGAGGACGGGGGCATAAAGCACATTGGCGAGCCCCATGCCCAGGTTGAGCTGTGCAAAGCCCATGGTGTGCACAATCTGGCCAGCCACGATGGGCCCCAGGGCGTACGCCACCGAGTAGGAGATGTCTGCGATGGCGTAGACGCTGCCGTAGACAGAGACGTGGCGCACGTCCACCAGGAAAGCCAGGGTGGGCAGCAGGGCTGTGTCCACCAGGGCGATGCCGAAGCAGATGCCACAGAGGGGAATGATGACCTGCCCGAAATTCCTGCAGGCTGGCACCAAGCAGGAGCTGGCGCCGATGATGGCCATGCCCAGGGCCCCGTAGAACCACTGAAGGTGGGGGTACGCAGCAGCCAGCCGGACGGTGACGTAGACGCCCAGCACGTGGGGGAAGAAGGCGGGCAGCCAGGTGAGGCCCACCTCCCACTCGCTGGCCCCCATGGAATCCTTCATCCAGTTGGCGATGGTGGGCTCCAAGAAGGCCAGGGGAATGTTGCAGGTGGCCAGGGCCCCTGCCACCACGGCGATGTAGGGGTCGACCATGAGGCGGTGGATGGGGGTGCCGACAGGCATGTTGGCCCGTGCCCCGGTGGCGCCGGGCGGTGCCAGGGCCAGCAGCAGCAGCCCGTCGAGGAGGCAGA